CAGATGTCTACAACTCATATGTAGTTGCTTGGGAGCCTAAATCGTATACTTTATTGTGCTGAATTCCTCCTACTGCTTGCGACCAAGTACGGTAGTCAGAATATTCTGCTGATCCACCAAAAGAACCTTAACCTGCTACAGCCTAGCTCTCTCGAAGGTGTGTATACTCCTCCTATAAAAGTTAATAAAAATTTCAGTAATTTATATATAAAATCATAAAAATTAAACTTATATACTTACATGGGCTTTTCTTATACACTTATCAACCCATTACTGATCCTCAACATGAGTTGGTTCTCTACCCAACACTTCTTTTTATAATAGAAATATATTAGTATTCTTATTAAAGTAAATTATTCAAAAAATTTAAAATTTCATACCAAACATCTTCTATGCTCAGTATGTGGAACAGAACCCATAGTAATATCTTTGTTCTGTCTATTTTGATCCCTCATCCTGCTGTAGTCTAGGCTAGCCCAAGCAATGTTTAACTCTGCCCATACACTCTCACCATTCTAAAGTGGCCACTCGCCTGACTTTCTAATGTTTGTAAACATGTCTCACATGCGAGTCGAGCCACGCTTCTCAAAATTCTTTCTGATTTTATCATTGTGTTGAGGCAAGCAACAAAAATCTTTTTACATTTAAAAACTATAATAAAGAATGTATAGTTTATTAGCTTATGTAAATAAGATATATACATAACAAATTTATATAATAACTAACCTCAAACTCTTTAAACCACATGCCTTGTACTTCTTTTGGGACTTTCTTCCAAGAAATATAAAGAACATCATACCTACTCCATATTGTTGCAACTCGAACTTATGAGTTTATATTTTTAATGATAACAAATATTATGAAAAACTTTCTATTATCTACTTGTATTCATAATATTTGTTTATTTGTGTGTATACGAACTTTTCAGGATTACGTGCACCATTCAAGACTCAAGTTTTGGTAGAACATATTTTATTTGTAATATTCATTGATGTATTCTTAATTTCTTGAGTTAAATCCTATAAGAGAAGTATGCTTTCTTGTGACCATGCAAACACAAACTCAAGGGAGTGATTTTGTAAGGGCTTCTCCGCCTAGCTATGGGGTTAAAGGATAGACACTGAATTTAGTGCAATACACGGAGGGTGCCTCTGATGAGTGGACGTAGGTCAATATTTGACTGAACCACTATAAATATGGTGTGTTCTTTCCTGTATTATTTTTACATTTAATTTTTGCACTTTGATTTTCTTTGTGGTGAATCGAGATTTTGTTTGAGTTTGTATTTTGATTGAAAGATTTTTTAAGAATACTAATTCACTCCCCTCTTGGTTAGCCTTGGGCTAGTTCATAAGAGCTTAACATTCAGAACAAACTTTCAAGTGGTATCAGAGCGAGATTCATAAAAATGAGATTTTGAAAACTTTTGAATTTTGATCCATGAATAATTTTTTGTAATAATAATATTGTGGAAGGATATTCAATCACCCGGTCACCTTTATTTGAAAATATTACTTTTGATTTTTGAAAAATTTGCATGTCTACTTTCTTACAATCAATTGATTACTGAATGTGGCAAATGATTTTACTGGTTATTCTATTCCTTAATGTGTTAAAGATAGAATTAAAACTAATATTCATTTTAATCAATGGAGTAGGAAAGAGCAAATCAATGGTCAATTGAATGCTAAATCAGTAAATTATTTTTTCTGTGCTTTAATTTATGAAGATTGTATGTTTGTATCCACATGCACTACTGATAAGAAAATTTTGGATATGATGAAACATCTACACCACTATAATATTCTTTATGACTTTGCTCTATGTTTAAATCTACTTTCTCTAATTACAACTAACTATCTATAGTTATAATTTGATTGTCCATATAGTTAGCAAGATCTTTTTTGTTTGACATAAACTCTTCTTGATGTGCTGGTGGTATTGATATAGTATTCTCAATAACTCCCTTAGGTTTGATCTTCATAACTATGAGCCAATCTTGTTTGCCTCATACTCTGCTCGAATAGTTAGTAAAATAGACTTGATTTGCCTAACTAGCAATAATGAATGGGTCAAACTTTGAGTATCTCCTACCCCGCTTAACTTCAATAATACCGTAAAATAGATGTATTCTTGTACCTCTATTCTTTACTGGATAAAACAAATCAATAAAATAAATAAGCATTATTTTCGTGAGCAGGATATTCCAATTGTAATATTTCCGATAATACCCCATAGTACTCAGAATCATATACTGTATGAGTATTCCCTCTCAAAAATACACCAAAATTCTCTATTTTTCTATCTTCACACCAAAATTTCCATTATCCAAAAAAATTAGATAACACTTTACAACACTATTTGGTCCCCAAGCTAGATCAAGTAGTCCATGATACTACAAATTACTACTTTGACTGTACACCTAGTTAGTAGGTAAAATATATCTTTAACATGGTTACTAACTAATTAAAGACATATTAATTGAAATGAATAGGAAAAATATGTATTGTATTTATAAACAAAATAGGGAATTCTATTTCCCCTACCTTTTGACCTTCTACTTATTCTGTTGCATTCAAACCATCAATAAAACTCATGTAAATTAAATTTATGAGTAAACATTAAATTTTTTAGTAACAAATTTATGAGCAAGCATATTCATACTTACTTGATATATGACTACACTTCATCAGAGTTAAGCAAGACATATAGTGTGACAACTCACATCTTCTTGTCAGTTAAATAGTGTATGGTGCTAGTACCTGTGGGTTCACCACTTCCATTAAATACAAATAAATTTTAGGATAGACCCAGATTTTTAGGTGCACTACTCTGACTTGATTATTGAAAGTTCGACAGGGATATTTTGCTCTAATGAACTAGTCACAAGGCTAACCAAGAGGGGGGGGGGTGAATCGGTATTTAAAAAAAACTTTAAGCAAAAGCATAGACTTAAACTAAAGTCACCACAAAAATCAAAGTGTGAAAATTAAATAAGGAAGCAGTAATAAAGAACATAAAAATTATAGTGGTTCGGTCAACTTGACCTACGTCCACTCCCCGGAGCCTCTCCTCTGAGTATTGCACTAAACACAATGACTCTTATTTTGCCCCCACAGTAAGGCAGAAACAACTTTACAAACCTCCTTTTCACCAACTCGAGTGAGGAAGATAATCCAACTTCTTTTGCTTCCTCTAGAAGAAGGCAGAGAACCCAACTCCTTTTGCTTCCTCCTGAAACAGGTAGAGAACCTCAATCAGATGATGAAGTAGACCTCTCTAGAACCCCTAAGGAACTAGAGACAACGATCGAAGAAGACGACAATGGATCCTTGCTTGGAGAAATATTTGTGAAACCCCTCACAAGCTGCCCCTCATAAGATCCTCTCTCTCTCTCCCCCTTGCTCTCTCTCTCCTCTTGGCTCTCTTAGGTCAGAACAACAGTAAAAGATACTCTATTGGGTATAACAAGAGGTCTTATATAAAAGAGCTTCAGAATAGCTCTTAATTGCAACAAACCGACTTTATCATCCAGGACGATATAAATATCATCCTGTATGATCAGTATAAATTTAGCTCAACTAGCCAGGATGATTTGGGACTATCATAAGGTTTTTGCTCATATCATCCAGGTTGATAGTATATCATCTTGTATGATTAGTACAAGTGGTTGAATATCATCTAGAACATCACCCTAAATGAATGTTTGGATGATGAAAAAGTTACTTGATCATCAAGGCTGAACTCACAATCATCCCAGATGATTAGTTCAATTTAGTGCATATCATCCAAAGCATCACCCTCAATGAAATCATTTCGGGCTGCTAGAGAGAGAAACTACCGCTAGAGAGAGAAATTGCCGGAATTTCAAACTTTTCAATTCCTGATTTTTCTGCAACACTTCATCGCCGGAGATCGGCTATGTCTGGAGAAGACCGTCGACCTCCTATCAATGGGCTTAAGTCAATGGAAGAAACAAATGGACGTATCAGGAGCAAGGAGGATCAGTATTGGTCGTTTCAGCGATCAAAAGCAGAAATGGTTCAAAATAGAAACATAGCTAAACCTCTCGTTATCAAAGAGGTTAGCGATGTTCTTATGAAGAAGACGGTGGAATACATTGAAGGAAAGGGCAAATGAATTTTGGTAAATTTAGATTGTATTACACCATTGGTTGAAAAATCACGATCAAACTTAAAACATAAGGATTCGGGAACTTCTTCTTCTGATTTGAAGATTTTTGTTAACAAATTTGGATGTTGAAATGCAATCTGTGACCTATGGCCAGCGATAAATGTGATCATTTCAAATAATGTTAATAATAAATCTCAATCAAAGGACAAGCTTACTTCTGTTCCGAGCTTAGAATTTTTAATCAATCCTGCATCTCAACCTGGAATAGATGGAGATGGTTTAAGAGAATCAGATGCAAAGATTTCTGAGGATGTTTCTAAAGTAAATTCTGTTAATGTGTGGAAGAAGACTCAGCACATAAAGATTAAATATGACATGGATTCGACTCCTGTTACTGATGACAGGATTGCTGTGGTGATGAATTTTGAATTAGAAAAATTAAACTCTCAAATTCTTAGGAATTCCTTGGTGATCAAAGTGTTGGGTAATAATATCCCATTTCCAGTTTGTAGTAGAGAACTAAAAAGACAATGGGCTCGATTTGGTAATTTCCATCTTACAACTTTGGGACTTGACTGGATTCTATGTTCCTTTTCTAAAATGGAAGCAGTTGAAGAAGTTTTGGAGGGAGGTCCTTGGTTGATCGGAGGAAATATTATTGGACTAGACAAATGGTCCCCCAACTTTTCACCCGAACCCTTAAAGGACTTACAGCTCCTATATGGATTCGATTGCCATGTTTACCATTGCACTGCTGGGATGAACATAACATCTGTCGGATAGCTTCCAAGATAGGAACGCCTATATATCTTGATAGAAACTCTCTTAAATTGGGAAAGAGAGAGTATGATTGTGTTTGTGTTAGCATGGATCTGGATAGAATAATTCCTAAAGGAATTTGGATAGAAGGATTACACGGTAGATCCTTTCAAAAGGTAGAATATGAGAAGATCTCTTCTCTTTGCTACCATTGTGGTAAACTAGGCCATTTGAAGAACAACTGCACTTTGATAAATAATGCTTCCTCCAAAATAGTAACTGCAACAACAAATGTTAAGGAGAAGAGGATGGAACAAGGAGGTATTTCCAAAAATCAAGATGAATTAGGACCTTAGATACAGGTCAAATTCAGGAAAAATAAAAATGTCGTGAAGAGTTTTTATAAGCAGAAATCTGGAAGTTCAAATGTTCATCCGCAAACAAAATCTACACCAGAAGATGCTGAAATAATTGAAATAGAAGTTTTTCAAAATTCTGTTTCAAATTCCATCAATAATGCCATAGGTTTCAAGGAAGATAAAAGCTCTGAAGTTATGTTGAAAAACAGATTCAGTATACTTGAAGAGGAAATACATAACAATGAATTAGATGAACCCAATGGTGAAGACTGTATTGCTGAAATTATTAAAATTAATCCTCTCAAGGGAGATGAGATGGTTACTGTTAATTCTAAGTAATTTATGACAACTAAAAGATTTGAAATAATTAAAGAAGTCAATGAAGAAGAAGATAAATCCAATGGAAAACTTCCAGTTGAATTCCGGGAGAATAAAGATCCTCATTCAGAAGACAACAATGGGAAGGGTTGCTTGCGAACTCTGGTAAATCCTGAGGGATTACTAGCGAACTCAAGTATTCCCTATCATAAATCAGATTTCAAATTACAAAAAGAGCTGAAATCCCTGTTCATGGAAGTTAAAGGAGGAGGCATTGTTAAAGGTAGGAAAGGGAGCAATCCCTGTTCTTGTCAAATATGACTTCAATAATCTTTTGGAACTGTAGGGAGGCTAGGAAAAAAGAAGCCTCCCATTATTTGAAGGAATGCATTAAGAAGAATGATTTGATCTATGCTGGGCTTTCTGAAATGAAGATTTCTTCCTTTGATAGGAAAAATTGTGAGAAGTTCATTGGCAACATATGGGATTATTATTTAATTCCTGCAGAAGGACTTTCAGGAGGACTTATTGTTTTTTGGAGGAAGGATCTTGCTTCCTTTTCAGTCATGGTGAACTCATCTCAAGCTATTGTGGGAGTATTTAATATCTTCAATAAAGGGGTTTGGCTCATTGCTTCTATCTATGGAAGTAATGATTTATATAAGAGAAGAAGCCTTTGGAAAAATCTTGAAGATATTTCTAATTCAGAATTACCAATTATCATAGGTGGAGATTTCAACTGTATTCTAGCTCTAGAAGACAAGCAAGGAGGTAAAAAATTCAAATTCTCTCAAGGGGTTCAAGATTTGAGAAATTTTATTAGCTCTTTTGATCTACATGAAGTGAAATTCATTGGTCCAACTTGGTGTAATAATAAGATAGGAGGAGCTAGAATCATGGAAAGATTGGATAGATGTATTTTGAATTCTATAGCCTTACAAACTATTCAAAATCCAGTTATAAAACACCTTCCTAGATTAGCATCCGATCATTGCCCCATTTTATTAAATCTTATAAATCCTGCATATAGGAAAAATTCAAAGATTAGATATGAAGAAGTTTGGTCTTCATATGCTGCAGCAACTGGAATTGTTAACAGCTCTTGGAATAAAAATATGAATGGAGATCCAGTCAATGCTTTGAACAAGAAATTTAAAAGAGTGTTAAAGGCTCTTTATTATTGGAGTAAATCAAAACATCAGGATTTGATGGTGTTAAAGGAAAATCTGTTAAAAGAAAATTTTGATTTGCAAACTGAAGAAGCAGAAGCTGGAGGGCTGTCCAACAATAAGCTACAGCAGCTGAAGTCTAAAATTCATGAGCTGAATATTAATTTATCTCGGCTTAACACATGGTGGAGGCAAAGAGCTAAGACAAAATGGTTGGTAGAAGGTGATTCAAGCTCTAAATTTTTCCATCTATATGAAACTGGAAGGCGGAACTCCAACTGGATTCATCAAATTAAGGATAAAGATGGAATTGTTACTGAAGATCAAAGTCAAATTGAAAAAATCTTTTATGATTTTTTCAAAAACAAATGGAAGGAGAAGGATTGCTTGTTGACAGGTTGGCCAAAACCTTTCAACATTTTGAATGAAGTGGACAAAAAAATTTTGGCTAAAGAATTCAGGAAAGAAGAACTTGAAGAAGTGGTTAAACACCTTGATTCCAACATCTCTCCAGGTATTGATGGAATATCTTGCTCATTTATCAAAAAATTTTGGTTAATTATAAAAGAAGATGTTTGGAAATCAATTAGCTCTTTTTTTGAACAAGGTAATATGAGTCCTAGTTGGAAAAAAACTTTGGTAGTCCTCATACCAAAGACTGAAAACCCGATTTTTCCTTCCAACTTTAGACCAATAAGTCTTTGTATATCAATCTACAAGCTGGTAGCAAAGATGCTATTGAATAGGATTATTTGTCTTATTCCTAAAGTTATTTCTGAAGACCAATCTGCTTTTATTAAAGGCAGAACTGGTTCAGAACATATTTTATTAACCTAAGAAGTTTGTAACAAATTTAGATTTTCTAAATCTAAAAAAGGACTTATGGCTATAAAAATAGACATAGAGCAAGCCTATGATAGTATGGGATGGTCTACACTTATCCAAGTGTTGAAGAATTTGGGTTTCCCTGATAAATTTGCTAATTGTCTTATTCAATGTGTTACTGGTTCCAACTTTTCTATTATAATTAATGGTAACAACACTGAATGGATCAAAGCTGAAAGAGGGTTCAGACAAGGTTTCCGCCTATCTCCATTCCTTTTCATATTATGTTCTCAACTACTCTCGGATGCAGTTATGCTCAGTAGGAAGGAATTGGGTATCAAAGTAGCTCCTAATGCTGAAAAAATTACCCTTCTTTTGTATGCGGATGACATATTACTGCTCTTGGAAGCCAATAGAAAAAAGGTGAAGGCAGCTAAAAAGATGTTGGAACAATACAGTAAATGGACAGGTCAAATGATCAATGTTCATAAATCCTCTATTTTATTGGGGAATTCGGTCCACAAAAGGAGAGGTAGGAGATTGGCTAAAATTCTGAATTTCAAGGTTGAAAAAAGTCTCAAATATCTGGGAATCAATATTGCGTTGAAAAAAGCTTCACGGAATGATTTCCTTCATTTGAATATTTTACTTCTAAAATCTGTTTTATCTTCATTATCAATATATCACATTTCTCATTCTTTAGTTACCGTGGGAATACTAAAGGATTCAGACATAATGAGTAGGGACTTTTTGTGGAATAAATCTGATGGTAGTAAGGGACTACACTATGTATCATGGGATGTTCTTTGCAAACCTGTTAAAATGGGAGGGCAAGGTATTCACTCTATGGCATCCAAGGCTGGTACACTTCGGGCAAAATATGCATGGAAGATGATTTCTGGTTCTAATTCTCAACCCTACAGAATTTTGAGAGTTAAATATGGTAATAAACTTTGGAATTTTCAGATTAAACAACAAAGTTCTCCATCAATTAGAATTATATATCATGGTTATAAAGCTCTTAAAGACATTTTAAGATGGAAGGTGTCTACAGGAGTCAATATAAACATTATTCATGATGTTTTGATTTATGATAAATCTATATCCAGTTGGCCAACATTTGTCAATAACATAGAACCGAATTTTCAAAATCTGGATTTCTTTATTGATAGAGGCGAATGGGATACAAATAAACTGGAATTATTCTTCTGACCATATTTGATTGAGATCATAAAAAATGTTCAAATTTTTCATGAAATAGAGGTGATCAGCTGGAACTCAAATACAAATTTTCAGTGAAATCTATTTCATCTTTAATTTCTATGGACTCCAATATGGAGAGAGAGGAAGACCAAAACTGGAGCTGGATGAATAAGCTTAAGCTTAGACCACGGGTGAATTTATTTTGGTGGAGACTTGGAATTAATGCAATTCCTACAAAAGCCTTTTTGAAATACAAAAAACTGTCCAATAATGAAGATTTTCCAAGAGGTTTGAATGCTACAGAGAATGAGATTCATATCATGGTGAATTACAAAAAGCTGGAAAATGTTCTTAATGTCATTAGAAGTTGGGGATTCTCAATTCCTATTTTTAATGCTTTTCAAAGTTGTTATTTAACTTTGAAAATATTGGCAAATACTAATCCTTTTATTGGAAACATATTCTATTTTGTAGTCTTTTTAAATTGGATTAACAGGAATATGTTTGTTCACAATGGTAAGGAAGATAGCACCACTTCTATAGCAGCAAATGCTTTAAGTATGGCTGAAGCATCATTCAATAGAAATTCGGATTACTGGGAAACCAACTAGCTTTCACAGCTATCCAATCATTGGTTTCCTCCTCCTCCCGAATGGATTAAATTAAACATAGATGCATCGGTCAAGAGCAATTATAATGCAGGAATTGGAGGAGTCTTTCGAGATCATAAAGGGAGATTTTTATGTGCATTTGGATTGAAAAATAAGCATTGGGATGCAGCACAAATGGAGATGCAAGCAATATTGTCTATTAAATCTTTCGTTTTGGAATGGAGATATGATTACAAAGGTATTATCATAGAGGGTGATAATAAAAATATTATTGATCTTGTCCAAAAAATCTTTAATAAGCAACCTGCTGAAGATGGAGGAAATTGCAATGGGGACTTCTCTTTTCTCTCGGAGTTTAATCAGGTTATTTTTCATTTTGTCCATAGAAATAGCAATAAGTTAGCGGTTTCTTTGCTAACCTTGCTTGCTCTTTAGATTTCTTTTGGGATGATCTTATTAGCAATAAGGTTCCTCCTTTTTTTTTCTTTACTAAAGGAGGAATGTGATTGTGGAGCAATCACATAATAGTTTTTATATAACTTTTTTTTTTTAATAAAATTGCTATATGCATTTTCTCAAAAAAAAAAAAAAAAAGAATAAAAGTAGGTCGATGTTTAATCATCTAGGAAAAACTAAGGTTTTTGAACTAATCATCCCGACCGATCCTACAATCGTCCAGGATAATATGATCGAGAAATCAAACTTTAATTACTTTCCTTAATTTCCAGATTAATTTAGGCATAATTGTATTGCATCGTCCAAGATGATGTCTTCGATGATGTCCAAAAATAAAAGATATCTAAATAAATCTGGCTGCTGATTCTTTCTGGTTTGAGCCTATCATCCTGAATGATACAAATATCATCCAAGACGATGCACTTAATGACGTCTACCTTAACTAGGATTCCCTAATTAGGGCTTCTATTTTTAACTGATCATCCAGGATGATTTTTGAATCGTCTTGGATAATATGACCAAAAATAAAAAACTTTAAAATAGTCAAAAAAATTTCCCCCAAGTGTGTATGTACAAGGTTACTTTGCATTAGTAACCACATCATTTACAATTAACTCAAGAAAGGTAAGAGATTACAAACTGACTTAGACTTAGTCTACCTAATCTTGAGCTGGTTCAAATTGCAGTTTGATCTTGAAGACCTAAAATATTAGTAGGCAAAGCAGTCATAGAGAAATAGAAGTGTTTGCTATCATCAAAATTCTATTCCTTAACATCAGATTCACAACAATCTCCCCCTTTTTTATGATGGCAAATAATTAAAAATAACGAAAACAACTTAAATACTACTCCCCCTTTTGACATTGCAAAAAAAGTGGAAAAAACCAAAAAAGAAAAAGTAAAAAAAAAAAGAAGAAGAATGAAAATAAGGTTATTTTTTTAATCAAAGCATGAATATGACAAAGTCTCCATATGATTGATTTTAAAGACTTGTAAGATCAATAAGTTAACATCATCGAAATCTAAAAATAGTAGAATATCTGATCCTGTTAACCCTAGCTCGAACTTCTCTCAGGACAAAATTAACTTTTGAAAACAAAAGACCTAACTCATAAAAACTAATTGAATAAGAAAAAAAGATCCATTCAAGACTTGGTTTCAAAAAAATATCTTATAGAATAATATATCAAAGTAATTTGTCACATTCATAAAATTTGAAATTAAGCCTTTCAAAATATCAAATGACACATGAATTCTTCTAAGTTTTAAAAGTTTGAAAGAGAAGAGAACTTGCTTTTGGTGGACTCATTTTATGCCTCTTGTTAATTGAATGGCGCACTTTGCACGTCTTTTGATTTTTGATACACTTTATGTATAATTCTCAATTTGGCGTCATTACACATCTTTAGATTTGGCGTTATTGACCACTTTTTTTTGCAAGCTAGATCTTTTTTCAAAACTCTTAATTACTCTCAGTTGTGAGTATATCTTCTCAATATTAGAGAAGAAAAACTCACTCTCTAATATCAGGAAGAACAAACCACAAAATAGAATCAATATTATATGGTAAATGCAATGATAGGATAACGAGAAAACTTGAAAGTAATATAAAGACTTTGAACATTATAAATATAAGATAGATTACTATAACAAGATATAAAATATCTCAATCAAAAGTCCAATTGTTAATTTCAGATAGACTTTTAATTAGAAAAGAAAATTACACCACTAAAAGAGGTTAGAGGAAGAGAAACAATCAACGGTGTTTTCTCTCTTTAATAGATAAAGGGATATAAAACATTGACTACAAATTATCAAAAACAAAAATAAGACATAAAATATCATTTCAACTATAACCAAAAATAAGAAAAACTAATAACCAAAAAAAATGATAGAGATGAAACAACTATAAAATAATAGTAGAAATGAAAAACTAACTCAAAATTAGAATAGAAAGAATAAAAAATAACAACAATCAACTATAAATATGCGAATCAAAATTTATTAAGTAGCAAGTTTATGTAATGAAGAGTCGCGAGTAAGTGTGTTATGAAAAGAAGAATGCAATGTAAGTGTGTTATGCTGTGAATCATGCAATTTGGATCGCCACACCTAATGTGTGCTATGATGAAAAGTGTAAGTGTGTGAAATGTGTCCTAACATGCCACATAAAAAATATCTTACTCCAAAAAAATGATTTACTAATTGTTTGGGTTATAATGTCTTTTCCTAGGATTTAGCTTTAGATCAAGTGCAGATGTATTCCAATTTATCTCAAGTGCATTCAATTTAGCTTTAAATCTCAAGTTAGCACTTTTTAAATTAGCATTATTAACATTCAAATAGTGCTCCTTATGCTCAGATTATTCAATATAAGTTTTAAAATAAGATTCAAGTGAGGTGTAGGATGTTTTTAAAGAATCATGCTCAACAATCAATTCAGAATATTTTTTATTCAATTCATCAAACTCATCAAGTAAATACATGTGATTGCTATAAAGTTGAGTGTGATCTTTACTTAAAATTTTATGCTCTTTTTATAAATTTGAAAATTCCAATTTCAGACTAGCATGAGTTTTCTTAAGTTTCCTATATGATGCATGAATATTCTCACAAACTTCAAGTAATTGATCATAGATTAGTTCACATACCTCTTCTTGATCAGAATGACCAAGATGATCATCCATCAAGCACAAATTTATTATCTCCTCTTCTGCTTTAGTCTTAAAGGAGTCAAATGCAGAATCTGCCCAGAATGCCTTTTGGTATTGCTTCTTATATTTCATGTATTTTTGTTTCTACTCACCCTTCTCTTTTCTTGAGTGATCCTTAAGTATAGGATAATTAGCTTTAACATGTCTATGCTTTGTGCCTTCATAACAAATAAGATAAGAAGAACTTTTAAAGTTTTTGTTATCCTTACCTTTTTTTCCACTTATGGTGTACTTGTTATTCTTTCATAGAAAGCTTTTGAATTACCCAGTGATGAAGGAAACATCACCGCTTTCAGACCCAGAAGAATTTGCATCCATATTATGAGCCTTTAGCCCCACAGTTTTCTCTATCTTTTTCTCACCGACATCAAGTTTTCTTTGGTTCAACTATTGCTCGTAAGCAATGAGTGATCCAAGTAAGTTATCAACAAAATAAGTATTCAAATCTTTGGATTCAGTAATTATAATAATCTTAGCATCAAAATAAGAAGGCAATCATCTCAAAATCTTATTGGCTCTTTCATAATTAGTTAGCTCTCTTCCTAAAGCATGCAATGAGGTGATAATTTGAGTAAAAATAGTATATATGTTAAAAAGAGATTCAGTGGGTTTCATACAAAAAGTTCAGAGTCATGTAATATAATATTCAATCTAGATCGCTTAACCTCATTTATACCTTCATAAATAATACATAATCTATCCCAAATTTCTTTACTAGTTGTACAAGTTGAAACACGTATATAATCTTCATATTTGAAAGCACAAAAAAAATAGTTCAAATATTTCGCATTAAGTTACGCTAAATCCTGTTCTTCAAATGTCCATTCAGTAAAAGGAAGTTCAGATTTAACTCCATTAATTTCACGAGAAGGAGGTGAATAACCATCTTTAACAAGCATCCACATATGATAATCAATCGATTGTAAAAGCATAAACATGCGAGGTTTCCAAAAAAATAAAATGAATATTATCAAATAAATGTGGTCGTGTAATATAATATCCTTCCATAGTATTACAATTACCAAAGTTAGCCATGAATCAAAATTCAAAAGTTTTTAAAAATTGGATTTTATGAATCCCGCTCTAATACCACTTGAAATTTTGACAGGGATGTTAAGCCCTAATGAACTAGTCCCAAGGCTAATCAAAAGGGATGTAAATAGATATTAAAAAAAAAAAACTTTATGCAAAAGCACAAACTTAAACCAAAGTTCACCAAAGAAATCAA